ACAGGATAATTTACTGAAAGATGTCCAAGTAGATTTATGCTACCATCATATAAGAACAGCATGATTCTAATTCTGCTTTCTAGAAATAGTAATTTTGATATTTCTAATTCTGAATAATAACTCTAAAGAATATTAGCTAAATGTATATAGTATTTAGTCTTCACTGTGTATGAAGTACCTTGTAGGATAGAAACAATGTGATTCTAAAGCAACTGATCCCAACCCGGTACCATTTAGATGTCTGGATCTCCAGTTTCCATCAGTCCCAGCCAGTAGGGCCACAGTGAAGAATGCTGGATTCTAAATCATGTAGTCCAAGACACCCATGGGCACATGGTTGAGGAAGCTTCTTCTCAAATATACTATTTAAGGAAAATTTCTAGTAAATTACAGCTGGATGAACTATATAGACTTGAAGATTTCGTTTATATATAAGATTACATGTTAGAAAGTAGTGTAATGTAATTTTAATAGAAAGGGACCTTACAAACGTAATGCAACAAATGCCAGCAGGACAGCAAAGTGCAAGGTCCTTATCAGGATGATGTGATGCCATCAGATTTTATACAGCCCTCTGAATGTAATAGAGAGAAAAATATCAAGTGCAGCAGGAGTGGTTAACTGTGAAGAGCTCTTGGCAGAAAAAAAAAGTAATGCATAAGGTGTCAACCTAGCTCTAGTTCCTGGACATACTGTTCTGTACATTTCCTGTAATAGTCTATTCCTATCTGCCAAGACTGATTCCTTCTATTTCATGGTGTTTATCTTATTTTTATTTTACTGCTTCCATTCTGATACTTATTTTCTATATATGTATTGCATATATTTTTATACTGGCTTTCTGTAAGATCCACCAAGGGTAGTCAGTGTAGAGCAGCTCAAATGTTGATAAATTTCCCTTGCTTATAAAGAGGATTTCTGGTGCATTCTCTAATGTGACCTTCTCCAACCTGGCTGAGGATTATGGGAACTCAAGGCCATCGAGTTGGGGAGAGTTGCTGTAACGCTTTTAATCCCAAGAAATAATATTTCTTACCCTCAATTTTCCAAGTTCCTCCCACAAAGCGTTGCCCTCTTCTTAAACTGGGGTGAATTTTAGTTTGTGATGAAGTATGAAGCAAGGATTTTATACAGAGTTCATAGCATTTGGTGAGGGAAGTCTTCTCCCTAGGAGCTGGGGACGTAGCACCAAATGCAAAGAACCCCATGTTGCATGTCCTTTTCTTCCACCCTTCCTGTTCTTGGGCTTGCTCCGACTCATGCTTTTTTCACTCAGGACCTATCCTTCCCCCCATTGGTGGTTGTAATTCCTCAAAGTCACAAACTCTACACCCTGTCCTGCCCTCTTGTAATTTAGCTGCAGTTACATATTTTGCTGCTTTTCACCTTCTCTACCACCTGGCATGGTGTCACTCTGTATCGCACTTGGTGTCAGCTGTGGGCAAAGTTAGAGGGCGGAAGAGAGATTGCCGCTGCTTCTACATTTTCCAAACCAGCCTCTCTCCTCTCAGTTTCTCTGCACATGCTGTGGGTCCTGGGAGTGGGAAGAAGTTGGTGGTACTGGCTGGTTACCAGGCTGAGCCAAACAGTACTTACCCAGCTGTCATGAGAGGCAGTGGATGGAGAGTGGGCCCAGCGCTCTCCTGGCCTGACTCTCCCGGCCTCACTATCTGTAAAGCGAGAGAAAAGATGCTCCATCCTCCAAGGTTAGGAGTGTGAAGTAGATAGAAGGGCATGTTAATGATGAAACATAAAGGTATTGGCCTTCATAGATGACATTTTTAAAAGACATTTTAATATCCATTAGTCACTGCATAAACCTCCAGTTATATTAATTTAATGCAATTTTATCAGGTGTTATATTATCTTATGCCATTCTTTCATTGCTTTATAATTGTATTTTAATTGTCTCATGTAATCCACACAGAGAAGCCATGGGTGAAATAGGTGGTATATAAATGTTTTAAATAAATAAATTTCCCAGTGTTCAGGAAATACATTAAGCAGTAAAGGGATTCTACCTGAATTTGTAATGGCCCTCTCTTTCCATGTTTTGGAGAATTCACAAAGAAAGCTCAAGCTCCGAGTTTCCTAAAATCTCAGGCCCTGTAGGAATCTCTCACAGCCCTTAATTATTCCAGCTCCCACAGTCCTTAACTATTCCAACTCCCAGTTCTCTTCTTCCCTTCTGCCTTTCCGTGGATTGCTATGTGCAGACAAGGAGAAGGAATCTGTGAGAAGGCTGGCATAGTACTTAGGGTTTGCCAGTGCTGCAAATGTGACACCCTTGCCAGTAACCAAAAAAAAAATGTTTCTGTTGAGTATCCTTGGGGACCCTCCATCACCATCAGGAATGCTGGAATCTGTACTTGGAATTCTTCCTGGCTGAATGGACTCAATGGGTTTTAGAGCCCTGAGGACGTGGCAGAAGCTTTTCAGACACTCTGTGAACAGGGCCGTGCTCAGCAGCTCTTAGCAGCAAAGCTTGCAGCCCAGCCACAGTTCTGTATGGTGTCACACAGTCTCCTGTGTGCTGCTGTCTCCAGAAATGCTACTGACTGAAAGCTTCTGTACTAAAAGCCCTTAGTGCTGCGCAAGCACATGGGGCATATGTAGGATAAAAGCAAACAAACAACCAACCAGAAATAAGATGTCTTGGGCACTTCTTACTAAAAATGAAAATGGAACCCCTGCTCCAAAGAGAAAGTTTTTCAGAACTTCCCCTTTCCCCAGCCTCATCATTGGAGCTTTCATTCCTCCCCTCCACCAAATGATCTGAACAAAATGACAGGCTCAAAAATCATTGCCAAAGCACTTCTTCTCGCTTTTCATACCATTATGCCTCTTTAGCTCCAACCAGTAGGCAAAAGGCCTAAAATGACTGAAATCCCAGAGCTTCCACTTAGCTAGTGTGTGGGTTGCAGGCATCATCACATATTAATCACTCCCAGACTACTTTTATCTACAAACTAGGAAAAGCAGAAGTAATCTCCGCTGCTTGTTCATGGCTTTAAAAACAGAGCTTTCAGAGGTGATGAAATTCCATTGGGGCTTACTGCTTCTTTTCTGAGCAAGTTGCTTGCTCTGGTCAGCAGGCAGATTTTTTGCAAAAGAAGACCCTCATGAACAGAATCAGTTATTGAATTACTCGTGCTGGACACAATCCTTGAGGCACATGTGTGCACATTTCAATTAAATGCATGTTCTCTTACACAGCATTCATCCATTCTAGTTTGTCATACACAGGAAAATTCACCCCAGACTGCTTGCAGTGTTTCCACTTAAGCTTTCACCAAATTTGTTAAGCACAGTGTTTTTCAAACCATGTTTGGGACTATGCTGGGATTCTTTGTAACTTTTTCAGAAGCTTCCTGAAATAAGAAGGAAGCTAAGGGCAAGCGTTTCCCTGAAAGACAACTGGCGACGACATGTAGTTATACAGCTGCAATGTCTTGCTCTCAGTTCATCTGAGGCTGCACCCAGCCATCTGAGGCTGAACTGAATGGATTGTATACCACAGAACATGTCCCAGAATCCTTTATGGCTCTCTGAGGGCTTCCTTCCAGGATGAGAAGTTCAGAGCAGCAGACGAGTCAGTGTGAATAGTTTTCTTTAATGGCAAATAGTTTGTGACTCCCTCCCCACCTTTTTTTCTTTTGCACTTGCATAGCTTTTACATTTCAGTGGCTCAACCTCTTCTAGTACTTCCCTCTCACTTTTTAAAATGGATGCACACTAGTCCTGTCTTTTTCATGCTAGCAGAGAGCCCTTGAATGCTTTCAGCCGTCAGGAGACCTGTGCTGGTGCACCAAGGAGCTTTACAGCAAAAACTTAAGTCAAGAGTGGGGGAATGGTCTCTGGTTTTGTTTTGCTTGAGCTAGCTTCAGCCTGTGTTGGGGAGGGGTAGAAATTCAGGGGTCAAAGATCGTTTACTGTTGCTGTGTGTATGCCCGCATGTGCACACACACAGACAAAGAACTTTTTTAGCTCAGCCCTAAGTACTCAGAGGTTGGTTCCACTGAGTTCCATAGGTTCCCGCTCAAGTAAGTTTGCTTAGGCTTGCACACCTTTATTTTAATAAATTCTTTGCATGGTATCATTGTCCACCACCAAGCAAGTTCTGCTTGTTGCTAATCACTGTGTTTGCAGAAATAGTTTATTTGTTGTCTCCAACAATTAGGACACGATATATGTTTTGATTGAACACCTGCCAGTATTATGGGGAGTTTTCCCAAATATCTTGCCTGTTTTTTTTTTTTTTTTTTGCTCTTACATACTCAATCCCCCACTCTCTTTTTGTAACAAGTTCTACAAAGCAAGGACCATTAAGGTAAAATTTCTTGAAAAATCCTAGCACGGTGTCCATATCCAGGGCAGAGTGGGGAGATGACACCTGAGTCGGAATCAAAATTTTGCTTTGCGGTATTCAAAGCAGTGCCGACACATTGCAGTATAGCCTTTCTGTGAAGGTTTCTCTGCTAGGTTACAGTGTATGCATAGTTTTAAGTTATTAAATGGCTAAACCAGCTCAGTTTGTGTTGTGATATGAATCAATCTGGTTTGCACTTCCCAAATGTGGACCAGAATACACTGTTTCTTCAGTATTCATACATGTCTGAATTTTGCAATGCAGTTTTCTAATCAAACAACACATACTAGAATGTGTGCACTGGTAAATTTGCACTACAAAGGCATACATTAAGGAAAATGGCTTAAAAAGGCATATATTAGGGAAATGCATAAAAAGTTGTATGCATATGAAAATGCTGGTGAAAATGTGTACACATTTTAATTCAGCCTTTTAAAAAAATCACACAACTATATACAGAAATGGAATGGAACAAACCTGTCATTTTAAAAATGCGATGATTGTGGGAGGTGAAAAAGTGGATTCATCCATCCCTAAGCTAGTCTTGCTCTGTGGTTCTGTACCTCAAGGCTTTTCTGTTTTAATTCTTTCCACCTTTATAATACCTCCAATTATCTTCTTCTAAATTCAGGAGATCGTCAACTTTAACTGCCGCAAGCTGGTTGCCACAATGCCTCTGTTCGCAAATGCTGACCCGAATTTCGTGACGGCCATGCTGAGCAAGCTGCGCTTTGAGGTGTTCCAACCTGGAGATTACATTATCCGCGAAGGGGCTGTGGGGAAAAAGATGTACTTTATTCAGCATGGGGTTGCTGGTGTTATCACTAAATCCAGTAAAGAGATGAAGTTGACAGATGGCTCCTACTTCGGAGGTGAGTAGAAATGCATGATACGATACATATGGAGAGAACAAATGTGGATTAGCTACTCGATACTGGATTCAGGAAGGTGATGAAGACAAGATAGTACATCTGCATGTTTCTATTGGATCTGACGGCAGATACAGCAGCTGTAACACTTTTCATCCGAGAGCTTGGCAATTTTCAAAATGCCAAGCAGACCAGGACTGTATCCCTATCCATCACCAGGTTCCGTTATTCATCCCATACCTCTATAGGCCCTGCTGGCAGCCTTTTCCTTAAGGCCAGTTCACACATACATGTAGATCCCTCATCATTGGGTGGTGTGGAAATAATATTTCTTCATCATGGATGTGCCATTTCAGAAAGGTGTAAACCACCTTCCCATAAAGGCATTATATTAGATTCCAGCTTAGTTATGCTTCACATTGATGCATTGCAATCAATGGGGAAAGTTAGCAATGCTTAAAGTAAGTCTGTGTGTGGCTGGATGGTGCAGCCATTAATATATGAATGCGTGTGTGTGAACTTATCCCTAAATCACTGGAATGTAGCCATTTTATCCTTGAGGGCTGCAGTGCTGGCTCAGAAAGCACACATATACATGCACATCTGAGAAAACACCAGCCTGTGACATCTATTTATTTATTTTATTATTACATGTCTATGCTGCACCCGCAGCTGGTAAGATTCTCTGGGCAGCTTGCAATTGATAATAACAGCAATCGCAGGTAAAATTGAATTAAAACAATGAAACAACTATAATAATGCAAGGATTGAAAAATTATCAGAATCAAATCAAAATTAAACTAAACATTAAAGCATCTAACGAAAGCATTAAAAGCTGTTAAAAATATAACATACAATCTGGCATTTAAAATTCACATAGGCAGCAGCGAGGACAGATAAAACATGTTAAAACCAATCAATTACCAAAACATCCTATGAAGTTTCTTTTTAAATCACTTGGCATCAAAAAAAGAGTGACACATCTCCTTAGGAAGCAAGTTCCAAAGGCAGGGTGCCTCTACAGAGAAAAAGACCTTCTGGCCATTTCCCACCTCAACATGGACACACACTGTGATGGCTTTGTCCCCCTCAGTCATCCCATTGCAGACCACTCCTTCCTTGCTGATCAGAGCAATGGGAAGATCGCATCAGTCTTGGGATATTGGAGGAGGAAAGAAGAGGTGACTTCTCCTAGAAGGGGACACACAGTCAAGAATTGGTGTGCCTACCCTAACCCTAAACCAAGCCAGTATGTTTCATTATGCTGCTGCTCATAGGCAGTCACAGAGTGCAAGAATATTGACCCTGTAGAAGAAAGGACATCAGAACCTTCTTTGGTACCACAGTCCTTCTTTGTGTGCAGCAAACATATTTGGGTCTGTCACAGACCCTCAACCCAGCCTTCCTGAGAAATGGAGTGACTGAGAACTATGTAATCCAGCTTGGATTCCTTGCAAGAAGAATAAGAGGCAGGATATAAATGCAATGCTGTAATACTACTACTACTAATAATAATAGTAATGGACATTCAGATACATAAGCAGTCTGAGCACAACACCCAGGACAGTCAGTCTTGTAATTCCCAGGAGCAATGAAGACGCATGCCACAATGGGTGCATGGAAATTTCCTTCCTTTATCTCCCAACTTGCCGGTTATCTCTCCTGAGAAAAGCAATATTGCAATAACTTATCCTTCAGTTTGATCATACTTATGATTAATAACAAATAAATATTTTATATACTGTAGAAAAGACAAGGTGCACAAAGGGCCAATTAGCATAATATCATTTTATATGGAAATAGCTTTTTCATCTTTGAGTACTTTCATTTTATTAAACCTTAGAGAGATAGGATCGCAATTTCCCATCAAGTTTCTTAGCTATTTGTGTCAAGACATTTTAATAGCTTCTAACCAAGGGAATGGAACATTATAACTGACAGTCTTCCACCTCCCAGCACTATCCACTAAGCCCAATTTCAGAAATAAATTGAGTAAGTGTGCTTTTAATTTTTAACTCATGCTCGACTAGCTTATACTGTAAAACATTCTGGTAATTATAGTATAACTTCCTGCACAGTAATCTACAGAAATGAATGGGCACTGTGTAAAATTACAACTATACTAACTTCTCTCTCCACTTTCATGAATGTTTGAATTTTCTGACACTGTTTCCATTAGTCACTCAGCTATGTCTGTTTCTGTTTATGCCAAACATGTATTCTTATATATGCTTGCAAGTGATCGATGATTTCACTCCATGTGGATTCATCCCATTATAGATTTCACATCACTGATAGCTTTCATAGGTTTTCATCATTTGTGCTGGAATATCTGGAAGACTTAAGGACTTTATTTGTCATATAAATGTATCTTTGCTTTGTTACAAAACCAGGATTTCCTGGTTTATCATGTTCAAATATGTGTATATAAAAGATAGATATTAATTTGAGGCCAGTGAATGAATTCAGCTCTCATGTTTATAAGAGGATTGGAGTAGGCAACTTTTAGGATAGTGTATCTTAGACAGCCAAACTTCCCATTATCCCGCATCATTAGTGATGCTGGTTAGGACAGGTGGTGGCTATAGACCAAATCATGCAGAGGGCCGTAGGCTCTGCCAACCCCTGCTATTTGCTTTTGGTATGTGCCATTAGGACAGGATACCCTTGTTTGTCTTTCTTTCAGTCCAGGGTGCTCACAAAGCTCTCCTCCAGCACCATGTTTCAGATGCATCAGTCTTCTCCATCTTGGCTTTCTTCACTGTCCAGCTTTCACAGCCATACACAATGATTAGGAATACAGTGGTGTGAATGTTCCTCGCCTTGTCCTCCAGTGAAACATAATTTGCATTTGATGATCTTTTCTAGTTCCCTCATAGCTACCCTTCCAAGTCTCAGTCTTCCTTGAATTTCTTGGCTGCAGTCTCCCTTTGAATTGATGACTGAGTCAAGGTACACAAAAGCTTTCACAGATTCAGTTACATCATTCTTAACAGTAATATTCTGTAATTCTTCTATAGGTTTTTGCTCTTAATGATAAGCTGCAGCTTTGCTTTTGCAATGTTTTCTTTCATTTACATCAAGAGTTATTTCAAGTCATTGCTGCTTTCTGCCAGTAGTAAGAGATCGTCTGCTTATTTTCAACTACTGATGTGTCTTCCACCAATTTTATCTCCTTCCTCTCATCCTAATCCAGTTTTCCTTATGATACACTCTGCATACAGATGGAACAGACAGGGAGATGAAATAGAGCCTTGTCTGATGACTTTCCCTACAGGAAACCATTCTGCTTCTCCATAGTATGTCCTCACAGAAGCTTCTTGTCCAAGAAAATCAAATGTCTAGGTACTCCCATTTCTTTCAGAACCATCCAGAGATCACCCCTGTTATGTGTGATGATAAAGGCATCTAACAGTAATATGTCAAACTAAGACTTAATCGTAGATAAAGGTCCATCTTCATAAAGCCGTATTCTATGAGTTGACCTCATGCTGGGCTAGACCAGGCATGTGGTGTAATGGGCACAACCAATGGTGCACCCCTAATCAGTGTATAGGCCCTGGTCAGATATGCAGTGCATGGGGAGATGGCAGCTATCCTCAACAGATTCAAGTGTGTTTGTATGTCTCACTATATTTCATTTCATTTTCAATTTCATTTTTCAATTTATATCCTGCCTTTTCCCTACAAAGGGCTCAAGGCAGCTTACATCTCCTCCTCCATCTTATCCCCACAACAACAACCCTGTGAGGTAGGTTGGGCTGAGAGTCTGTGACTGGCCCAAAGTCACCCAGTTGGCTCCATGGCTGAGCGGAGACTAGAACCCAGATCGTCTGAGTCCCAGTCCCATGCTCTTAACCACTACACCACACTGGCTTTCAGTGGTCCAGCTTTTCCCAAGTCACATAAAAATACACATATTCCAGAGATGCGTGTAATTGGGAGCCATTTGTGCCCAACTGGGAGTATGGATTTATGCAACTCTGAATTTGTGCAGATCAATTTCAATAATTAAAACAGGTCAAAAATAATTTTTTGCAAAATCCAGTAGTATCAGTGGAACAATAGTATCAGTGGAACATTCTCAATGTTTCACCTGAGAATCTGCAAAATATATATGGAATGGATTTTACAGAGTCCATACTTAGTAAGGCAAGAGTGGGTTATTTTATCAGAAAGCTGAATTAATACTTACTCCATCTCCTGGATTTCTTTTCCACTGCATTTGTTAATTAGCATAGCATAGTTTGCATGATTGTGCCATCATCTGTGATTGTGTCTGCCTGTTCTGTAAGAGTTATAGAGACAGAAACTCAAATTTTGCACCACAAATATGGCTGATTGTACAGGAACTGCACAGAGGTAAGCACTGAAAGAGTTTTGCCTTGATGAACAAAACTGTCAGTTCCACTTTTTCCTACTTCTGATCGTTCCATTTCCCCATTCCAGAGGTCAGCCAAGAGTCTAAATCAAAATGGATAGGAGCAATTTTTTAAAATATTTTGAAAAAATGGTCACAGCAGTCCATTCAACAAAATGGCAAAATATGGCTTGCTGAAATCTTCAAAATAAGTGACAAAATCATTGCGTACAATGGGAAGAGAAAGCAGGAAAGCCCAAATGTTGAGCTTGCTTGTATGCATAATGCCAAATCGCCAGAGAGCCAGTGTAGTGTGGTGGTTAAAATGTTGAACAGGGATCTTGGGAGATGCAGGTTCTGTTCTCCATTCAGCTACAAAGCTTGCTTGGTGATTTTCGACCAGTCATTCTCTCTCATCCTAATCCACCTCACATGTGTGCTGTTGTGAGAATGAGATGGAGTAGAGCCACCTTGCATTCCTCACAAGAGAGAAAAAGACAGGATATTCATGTAAAGTAACAGTAATAATTTGGCATCACCTGTGAACCAAGTTAGCTACTTTTATATTGAGTATTGAGAACTATCCAATTTGAATTTTAATCAAGAATATATTTGCTAAGGCAATGCACAAAAACAATGCTAT